AATTCCATCCAACATGTTTTTTTTCAAACAAAGCAAAACTGTGGCACAGATCAAACAGAAGCAGTCATCAAATTATAACACCCTAACCAAACAGCAGTCAAAAGATGGATTCAAGATATTGTGTTCTTATGAAAGTGAAATCTTGACAGCAAGTTCAAACCAATATTAATCACCATTAAAAAACAATGTGCCTAGTTTTGCAATAGCAAACATTGACATGACTAGAAGGTGAGATTATGGTACAGTGGTTCATGAACCATGGACAGTCCTAGAAGCACTGCTATGAATCTCAACATGATTAAACTAACACCAATCAGCAGCCCTACACCTCTAACAACTTTACAAGCTAAGGAGGTTTACTCATGACAATAAGTTAATGGCCCCCCTTCTTACTACATCACAATAGCAGAGGCACAACAAATCCTAAGCTCTCATGACAGCTTCCACTTGCTATCCAAATAAATCAAACCAAACAATCACAGTAGCAAAAAAAACTACTCTCAAAGGTTTAACAATCCAAAGTCTCTATGATCACAAATCTGGTGGCAACCTCACCTTGGATATAAACAAAGCAAAAACCAACCGTGTACCCCAAAAAAACCTACTTGGCAACAACTTTGATAATGCTTATATCTATTAACCATCAGTCCAAAATTTTATTCACCAATGCAAGTTTAGTGACAGTAAACATTTTATATGCATCAGTCATGATGTAACCAAACAGACCAAACAACAATCACAATGACAAGTCTTTAAGGTCTTTTGATGTGGAAACAAGATTAAAGAGGCTTTGGTTGAAAACAGAAATAGCAGCACGTTTTAAAAGCAAACAAAGTGCATACACATGTTCAATATAAGCAAACTGTCAAGGTTCAATTCATTCTAGAAACTACTGTGAAGTTGCAACTCACTTAAACAAGCAGAGTCACAAACTTGGAATTATGCAGATGCAGCAACAAAATAATGTAAACACACATTTATTACAATGATAACTTATAGGCAAGTCTTACTATGAGAAACTAAATTAACAGCAATGAGGCATGGTGAGTTGATAAACTCAGACCTTAAAGACAGTCATTGGCAGCATGGTTACATTGTCAAAGCCCAAATCATTCCATCAATCCAAACTCATAACATGGAGTCACAACTCAACTTAATCAAACAAGGAAACTAACCTAGGATTAAACAGTGCTACAAACCTGACATTACAATGCCAAGTCAGGAATAATGCATACTTAAATAAAGAGTCAACAAACTCCAGGCATGTCATCATGAGTTGACATATTCAAATTCAAAACAAGCTCTAGCAGTAGTGAAAATGCAATCATCTATGACATGATAGGACAGTTGCTAAACAAAGACATTTTTTAGTTATGAGAGACAAAAAATGAAAGCATAAAACCAGTAAGAAATGTTTTGTTGAAAACAAAAGCAAACACACAATTTGGTTATGTAAACATTAATGCAATAAATCCACCAATTATCATCCATTCTGCTAAGGAAACAACTAGACTCAACATGAAAGTCTCCCTCTCATCAAGGTATATTAAAAGAATATCCACTGAATTTACCACCCTTAACCAGCCTGCTTATGATAATCCTATCAAAGCCTAACAGTTTTGATGGAATCTAGGTTGACTAACCTTCCTACAAACTTGGATAGCAAGCTAAGCATCAAGGTAAATTCAATGAAATGTAAACCCCTATTTGTTATGACTACAATCAAAAACCCCTTCCCGCCAGAGCATACTGTCGCTACTCGAAAAAAAAAATGCATCGCGCAACGACGGGGAGGCGAAAAAAGATAAACAGAAGAGTCGCCACCGAACTTTATTTATCCCATGAGGGGAAAGGAAAATATCGAGAAAACCTTAAGAAAGAAATGGATAAGATGGTCTCGCGACCAAGAACGGGTTCGGAAGCCGGTTATGCGAGGGGAAGGTATTAGCACCCATCGCATCCATCGTACTCGATGGGAACCTTTTGTTTGTCGATGTGTGAATTTATTTGCTAGAATATTATGCTATAAGAAGTGTGTTTCAAAAAGGGTTAAGGGAAAGGTTTAGAAACGCGAAACAAGGGGTGAAGAGGGAAAGAAAGGACTCGATAGGACTTCGCGGTCCTAGGCCTACGTATTCTCAACAGATATGAGAAAGTCAGAGTCGACGTAGTTCGGGAAACTACGGGTGATAGGGGGGATTGTGCTCGCCAAGGATTGTGGCCCTTGTGCCTACGTATTCTCATCTGGTATGAGAAATCAGAGCAGCCGTAGTTCGGCCTACGGTGTGTTGATGTTTTTTATGGATGATGCTATCGTGCGCATTCTAGCAGTTAGGTGTTTTGCTGCTCGCTCGTTGGAGACTTAGGCGTTACCTGTTTGCGGTAGAACGGACGTAACATATCCTTTTGAAAGATTGATTAGTTTTCGCCACGCGGGGCAAGAAGTCACGTTTGATTGATTGGATTGTTTTTTAGGGGGCGAGACAGGTCCTCGGATAGTAACCCCTACGGGTAGTACCCCAATTCATTGTCTCAAAGTTTTTGTTATAAAAAGTGTGGCGAACGAGGCGTCTTCGTATTGAAAGACGAGCGTCGAAACCACCCTCACTACAGTGGGCATCCCTATGCTCGGAGAAGAAGAGGTCTACACCCAATCCTCTCTCTTTAATTCAATGCAAAGAGAACTTCGTTCTCTTATTAAAGATGTTTTTGGTTTTGAATGGTAAATGCTTTGCGACAGAGAACCCTACGGTAAACGTCAGCACTCGGGATAGAAGAAAGCCTACGCCTAACCACACCACGACCATTCAAGTTTTTTGTTATGAAAAGATTTGAAAATGCACTCGGTGCGAGACCGAGGTTTTTAGGTGACAAGGGTTGCGGGAGGAAGTTGTAAAAGCGAGATGGTGGATAAAGTCGCATCTTCGTATTGAAAGATGAGTGTCGAAACCACCCTCACTACAGTGGGCATCCCAACACTCGAAGAAGAAGAGGTCTACACCCAATCCTCTCTTTTTAGTTCAATATAAAGAGAAATTTATTTTGAAGAAAGTATACTCGGTACGAGACCGAGGTTTTATGAGGAAATGTTGGAAGCGTCTTTGTATTGACAGACGAGCATCGAGACCACCCTCACTACAGTGGGCGTCCCAACACTCGGAGAGGAAGAAAGTCTACACTTAATCCCCTCTTTTTAATTCAATACAAAGATAATTTGATTTTAAGGAGATGAGATTTGAAAATGGATGGGAAGCGTCTTCGTATTGAAAGACGAGTGTCGGAACCACCCTCACTACAGTGGGTATCCCAACACTCGGAGAAGAAGAAAGTCTACACTTAATCCCCTCTTTTTAATTCAATACAAAGATAATTTGATTTTGAAAATTGTTTGACAAAGTTTTTGAATCGAGTCGGGACGAGTAATGAAGAGAGAAAAGAGGTGGTCTCAGATCCAACATTACTCATCAATAATTTGACTGGTAATGAATTACGGAAGCATCGTCATCGACCTAAAAGACAAAAATGTCCAATAACAAAAGAGCAATAAGATCCATCTCTAATATGAAAATAAAATAATATATCTTATTATAAAGTAAACCTAAAATCTTAGAAGAAATATAATAGAAATATTAATAGAAATAGAATATAAAATAATATATACAAACTCCAAAAGAAAAAATAAAAGATATATACACAAAATAAAGTTTTAACAAATATATATAATAATATTTACATAATATAAAAAATAAAAAAGGTTTAGAAAATATAAATAAATGAAAATAAAAAAAAAAAATAAATAAAAAAAGAACTCTTCTTCCAAATCGTACTTCGCTCACCGTATCTCTCTTTATTTCTCTCCGTTCAAAACCCTCGCCGGCAACATCACTTACTACGCCGCGAATCACAGATCGCAACAACACAATCCATTCAAGAGTATGATCATTTCATGTCCCGTGTGTGAAGCTAGATCGACATTGTTGAATCCTCGCGTGGGTTTGTGAGTGTTTGGGAGAATGGAGGTTGTTTCGGAGCCGCGGGAGGTAGAGTGGGTTTCGAAGAAGATTTTTTGGTTGAGGATAATGGTGATTTGAGGATGAGGGAGAGGGATGAGTGGCGCTGAATCTGGAGTTTCTGGGGGGTTATGGTTAACAATGGTGGGTGAGTGATTTGTGCTAGTTCGATGAAGATGATAGTGAGTTTTCACGGTGTTGGGTTTATCGTTGTTGTTCTGTTGTGTGTTGGAAATGATGAGAGTTATAAGAAGAACGAAGGTTGAAAATGGAAGAAGTTTACACGGTTTTAGGAGCTGTTAGAAGGTTGAGATTGTTGGCTTTTCTGGATTTTTGAAGGTTGAAAAGTGTTTGTTTGAAGAGAGTTTTTGGTTTGAGATTGGTTCTATCTTATTTTATTCTTCTGATCTGTTTTGAGCTTTTGATTTGCAGGAGGGAATTTGGATTGAAGAAGACATTTTAACGGTGATGTTTTGTTGAGTTTGTTGGGTAGTGAGTGTTGATGGTTGGTTTGCGCTGTTGAACGGCGAAGAACGACGAAGACAATGGTTTTCAGCTGTGTTGTTGCAGAAGGTAAGGATGGTTTTATTTTTTTGAAGAATATTTGAGTGTGGTTTGCAGTTGTATTGTCGATTTCAGGAATCAGAAATGGACTGGGGATTTCAAGTTAGATCTTGAGTTGTTGGTGGTTGTTTTTCTGATAGTTTGATGATAGAGATTTTGAAGGTGAGTGTGTTGATGGTTGGAGGGGGATTAGGGTTTCATTTGGAGGCTGCTGGGTTTTGTGACTAGGGTTTTTGAGGCTCTCTCAGATTAGGTTGTGATTTTCGATTTTAAGGAGGTTTTTGAAGTAAGTTCCAAATCCCTTTCTCTTTCTCTTTTATTTTCTTGCCTTTTTGATGTATCCTGGCTGTTGTTGTTGCAGGTGTGTACAGGCTAGCAGGTTTTGTCCTGTTGTGGATGTGGTTTTGATTTGTTCAGTGTGAGTTCTCAGTATAGCACATAGTGTCCTGGAATTGTTGTTGTGTCTGCATAGCTTGTGTATTCCGACACTGTTGCGCTAAATGGTACTAAATGTGTCACAGCATTAACAATTCCTCTAAGAGTGTAGCGAGACATGTGAGCCTCGTCCCTCAATTGCGAAAGAGGAGTTATATCCAATATCTTAATCTTTGTACCCTTTAGTGCACCCTCAATAACTGGATCACTGGATCCTACCTGCGAGACCTCACTACCATTTGATAATGGGATAGTGTTATCACAGCTCCCGCCGGTATTCCAATCTCCGTTGAAGAAATGCCTAGGTGATAAAGTCCGGAAGAAAACTTTGAGCTGGGGATGTGAAACAAGTTGCAAATCAAGCCATCTGACTACACTCTTGATTGCTAAGTTTTTGGCATTTGCAATTTCTTCAATCTTTTTGTCTTCATTTGGCTTTCCATTAATATGCATTACCCACCTGTTTCCGTTGAGCTTCCCACGGTTCCAATGGTGTCCTGTGTTGAGAACCAAAATATTAAAGCGATGGAGGAACTGTCTCATAAATGCGGGTGGACGGTCTAAATGCATGGCAATGTTTGTATTTTTGTCGTTGATGTTTAGGGGCACAAGATCACATAAGCTAGCTGACCAATAATATAAGATGGTGGTATTTGTCTTTGGAAATCTGTAAGCCCATCCATCAGGACGTATAGCTCCACGGTGTTTTACAAGACCATACTCCCACCCCACGTTTTCTACTTCTGGACTCTCTTCTCCACCAGTGGCCATACACATCAGAGATTGAAATTGTTGACGACCCAATGAATCACCTATGAATGCAATTGTTTTGTCCTTCATCTTTCTCAAGAACTGAGAGCGGTCAAACTCTTGCATATCACAATTTTTTGGCTGCCAGCGGTATCCCTCAAATGAGAAATCTGGTCGTTGTGTCATTCTACAAGACCACATTGATGATAACCATTGCTTACAGTTGAAACCAGAATAGAGTGGTCTCCTGCTATCTGCAACCCACTTGCCGTTGGCGTAATTACAAGCTTCACTTCTGGAAGAAGACTTCAAATCTTTTTTGTGTACAAAATCCGAAGATTGGGGATGTATAGAATCTACAGCTGCTGCACCCTTGATGCCAAGTTGCAATTTTGTTTTATTTTCTCGGGAGGGTGTTAAGGATTTTTCCACAACTTTTTTCGGCTTTGTAGTTCTCATTGAATCAATTGGGAGTTCCAAATGAAAGTCTGAAGGTAAGTGGTACCATTCTTGAGCTGATCTAAAAGTGGTGCCTATTGGATTTGTTTCCCAAGTCCACAACAATGTGCTAAAAAGAACAAGAACAACTAGGGCTAATGCTGCAGAAACAGGTCTGCCTTTGAACCTATAAATACTTCCTCCTTTCATCTGTGCTTACACATTACAGCAAATACAGATCCTTCACTTGTCTATACATTCAGGACAAATCCATCAAAAAACAACTTCGGCAATTCTTCTTATTGTTGAGGCTTTATCTTGATTTGAATCCCCTTGTTGTTGCAATTCGTTGCTTAGAGAAGCTGAATCGGGTTGCGTCGGTTTAATCGCAATTGCAGATCCAGAGCGTCGAGGAGGGAAATGACGGAGTTAGCCTTGAGCTTTGAAGGAGAAGGAGTGCGAGAGAAGATGAAGATGATGCTCTTTTTTTTTTCTTTTTGTTGTTTATGAAATGGTACTGACATGATGTTGGTTCTGAATTTCTGATTTTGTTATTCTTTTTACAGGTTGGTACATCTTTTCCTCTCTTGCTTCTGCCATAACAGTAGTATTGTTGAATGGCATAATATATGGAGATCCAGATGTACATGAAGATGATATAACGCTATCGTCATTCATGTATTCGGAGTTTATGGTGGAAGAGGATGGAGTTTGCTGACAGATTTTAAGAGCTGAAATCCTAGTTGTCATAGCATTCCTTCTTGTTTGAAAAGTAGGAATAAATTCTTCACTCTTCCTGTTTGATATTGGACTCTCCCATGGTTTGTTCGCCATCCAGCGTTCTAAAAAGTTGTTCCCTAAGCTCTTGTTGTCGCGGTTGTGAAGATGCTTGAGAGGAGTCGCTGATTTCGAGTTCGGACTAGCACTCATTCTCGACTGTGCCGAAAGAGAGTATGCCATTGCTCTATCCCTCTTGATTGCACCTTCTTGTCTCAGTCTTAACTTTGCTTTAACTTCATCTGCAGTTCCAGGAATTTCACACCATCCTTGCTCTATGAGTTTAACAGAATCAACTTGGTTGCGATGGTCGTCTAATAACTGCTGAACTGCTTTTCCTTCTGGAGAATTCCTGACATTCCTTCTGAATTTTTCTCTTTAGGATTTTCCTTGTTACTTTTATCGACTTTCTCATTGCTGCTTGGGCCAGTGATCAAAACCTTAAACAGTCCAAAATATACATCAATCAGACGTTTCGCCACTTTTGGCCCATCTCCTTTATTGGTGAGGCGAATTTGGCTCAAGAAGTTAACAGCGTGGTACTGAGAACGTGGTCCTAATTTAGGCCGAAAGAGAAAAGTATCCACCTCATTAACAACCACAGCCTTCATATTTGGGTGCTGAGACAAAAGGTTGGTCAAGTGATAGTCGGCATTAGATGCTGCCTTGTTATCTGGATCTCCAAGTTTATTAACAAGTGCAGAAAGTAGTCTGCGCTCTTGCTCTGATTTCCTACTCAGTAGCACATATATGGTCTTTAATGACTTGTTTTTCAGAGCAGGTAGCATGTCTCGAGATGCTTCTTCAAGTGCAACAACAAACCGTTCGTATCTCTGCTTTAAACATTCCTCCCAATACCAGAAAAGTAGAAGGGAGTAGCCATCTTTAGTTTCAGGAAGGTGATTTAGTGGTCGTTGTATCAGGGTCTTCAATTTACGATCTGGCAATAAGCTTGCAATAAATAATTCTTGAAGTGCTTCAAAACCTGACAAGGCATGGCGCTTTCCGCGGTACGTAATACTCGCTAGCATTTGATTGTGCTTTCCCTTTTCTGAATTTGTGTCTTCCTCTCATGTTGCATCATCATTTTGGATTAATTTTGTTTGCAACTTGTGACGTTTCTGTGCCTTGCAATTCATTTGCTGCAGTTTTGTTCTCGTTGCGACGTGTATTCGTCTTCAGCATGTGCACACCGCCTGCATATTTTGCTCATGTGGTATTCCTCCTAAAGTGATACATTCTTGAGTTGAAGAGTTGAAATAGTGTGAGATGGGATTATGAAAAGGACCTGGTACTTCTACTCGTGTAACATCACTTGATGTACTGATGCTTAAACAATTTTGAAACAAGTAGCAAAGCAAACAGACACTGAAATTACTTTGGATTTCATCAATGAGGGAATTAGGCTCATTACGTCTATTGGCAAGAGCATAAATGGCAAGAGCATAAAGCTTTGATAATAGTAGCATGTGGCCGTGTAGTTTGACCATATGGATTTGACTTTTCTTTCTTCTTTTTTTTTTTATTGTAAATATATGGGCTCCGCTTGTAGTTTGAGAAAAACACATTGGCTTGTAATTTATTTGGATATGTTCGCATTTTATTGAACTTTTGAAATGAAATGGGCTTTCGACTATATTTTAACCTTCTCCACAATAGTCTTTGAATGGGCTTCTCGCGAGAACAACCAATGAGAATGTGTTCTAAATCTTTGATCCAATGTATTTTTATAATAATTTTTTTTACGCAAAAAACTTTGGACTTGAGACATCAAACAAAAGGCATTGACTAAGACTTTCCAGATTTTACTTTGCACAAAACTTTGTCTATAGAAGCAACTGGATCCAAATGGTTATACACTTTGACACCAGTTTTACACCTCACTCATAAACAAAACTTGGGAATCGCCATAAGATCATGATAACCAAACTCAAAGTTCTTGCCTTAAAATGATGAAAACTTGACATCCCGCGAGAACCAAACAAAATTATTAACTTGAAATAATTGCCACTTGAGTTAACCTTGAGAAGTAGAATTGACCTTGAATTATCCTAAATTGGGAACGGATTAGAGCCTTGAATTAATAAATCAGTCTGGATTTGACCATTTGAATATCAACAAACCAAAGTCTCTAATATAAAAACTCCCTGAGCCAAAACATGTCTTAAAATCAGAGAACCATGATTAAACTTTAATTGAAGAATAAACTTGATCCTGTTGATCATCGACAACAAAACACTTGATTAACCACAGTCCTGACAACTGACCCACATACAGATGATTTGGGGTACAGAAACCCTGATTGAAAACTCATGAAACAATCTCTTGACTGACTAACCAAAAAAAAAGCCACTGAATAATACTCATCACTTGCCCGAGTCACCTTACACATCCCCGAACCACAAGCAAAGATAGCCTCCTCCTTTTTCCTAGATATAGTTAGTGAATGGATGCACAGGTGAAGGTGTTGCGGTGGAAATAGGATATCAAATTATTAATTAATTTGAATCGCAATTCAATTCACAACCGCTCTTTGATTTATCCGAAGGAAAAGGTCAAAAAGGGAAAACCTATTTTGCATCGTAAACACAATGCGGGGAAAGATCTAGGGTTCGGGGGTTGGTTAAATTTAGGGAAGGTATTAGCACCCTAAACTTCTGTAGTACTCTACAGGAACCTTTTGTTCAATGCTTACTATTTGCTTTATTTATTTGCTTAAGGTATATGTACATAAGGATTAAAAGTGAGAAGGGAGACCTAAGGGGTTAATTCTAAGTTTACTCGGCAAGACATCGCATCTTGTGCCTACGTATCCTTACGGGAGTGGAATCAGAGTAATCGTAGTTCCCCTCAAAAGGGAGGTTAGAAACGTCTTGACTGTGGCCAAGGTTTCAATGGGGAATAAACGTATCTTAGGGACACGCTTACATGGAGTGTAGAAACTCCAAATCTCTACGTTGAAATGTTAAGTTGTAATTAGGGTTAAATTAGGTTAGGGATTCCGTGGCGGGAAACCCTAAAATGAGCGCGGCGGCTCTTTGACCTAATGCTAGGGGTAAAATGGTAATTTTGTCTACAGCGAGACATGTATGAAAATTTAGGGTTGAAAAGGTGTAAGGGTTGAAGGTGAGGACTATTGACACGGCTAGACCTAATTCCTTCGGAGGAGTGAAATTAATTATAAAGATGCGATGAAATTAAATATACATACAACGGCAGAAAATAAAGTGCGGAAAGATAAATGCGACAATTGTCTCGCAAAATTACATCCCGTAAGCAGTTACAAATATGATAATTGAATATTTAAACTGAAAATAAAATCAATTGAACTTAGTCAGCTGCAGAAAACCAAAACAAACCGAGACTGTTATTATACGGGGTTAGACAAAAAAAATTAGACGGGAATGTTAGGAATTTAAGTAGAAAATTATAATTTTAACGAAACAAGAAGAAAATTAGAAATTTGGATCTTAAAAATGAGGATGTTAGCGAAAAATTAATAAACAATGAAAATTAATATGCAATGAAGATGATGATAATATACAAGTGATAATGGAATATGAAATAGCAACGATGATGTAAGATTATGTACAAATATAAAAATAAATACAAAAATAAATAAATAAATATTAGTGAACAGGTTCATGGATAATCAATAATACTGTTAGGAATGAAGGATGAAAATTGGAATTGACGATAATTAGAAGTTAAGTGATGAATGTTTTGAGACGGTGAGAATTTAGGTAATAAGAAAAGAGTTAGAATGGAATTAGGTTTTTTGTGAGATTTGGAAAAGTTAGAGTTTTTAATGTGATTAAGAAAAAGAAAATAGATTAAAAGTTAGAATTAAAAGTTAGCAAAAAAATTAGAACTTCGAAATTTGGTTTTTAAAAAAAAGGTTAGAAAATAAAAATAAAAGTTAGAAAATAAAAGAGAAAAGGTTAGAATTTTAATAAAAAAAAAAAGAGTTAGCATGTTAGAATTTTAATTAAAAAAAAAATGGTAGAAATTTTGAAAAAAGATATAAAGAGATTAGAAATTAAAAAAAGAAGAGTTAGTTACTTTTGATGAAGACTGTAAGAGTTTTTGATGCTTGTCGATCCCCCCGTTTTGTTGCTTCTGAGGGTCCTTTTATACTTGATTTTTTTAAATCTTTTTCAATCTCAGATTTGATTTGAATATCTCAATCTTTTTCAATCTCTGATTTGATTTGAATGAATTTTTATGATGATTTTAGATTTGATTCAATGATGGTGATGCTGATTTTCTTATGATGATATGATCTGATTGATTTTATTTAACTCTATCTGGAATTCATTGTGATTGGATTTGATAAAAAAAATGTTGGGATTTAAATTTAAAAGTTAGCAAAGAAAGTTAGAGTTTCAAGTTAAATAAAAATTAGAGTTTTAAGTTTAAAAAAACTGAGTTAG